GACTACCACCATGCTTGTCCGTGCGTTGTGCTAGATCCTAACACCAGTACCTCCCTACATGTGATGATTGCTGGTATGGAGGTGGCAGCATTTGCACGAGACGGAAATTCTGCTGCTGCTACTGCCCTTTTAAAGCCCCACTCGGTAAAAGGATATGTGGAGGCTCTCGCACATGCGTTGGAGGCCACGAAGCTCCGATTGGACAGTGAGTGGGCAAAACTGCCCTCAGTAGGCACTTGGTTGATGCCGTACCCCGTGGAGGAAGAGTCGCCGAAGCAGGACACCATTCCGAGCCAATTCCTCAAGACAGTCAACGCGGAAACTCAGGACTTCCTGAAGTATGGACTTTCGCTGCTATCTTCTTTTAAGGGACGTGGTCCACGCGTCCTTCTTGACTGGCATGATGACATCGGCAGATACAGCAAGCAGCAGCTGGCAGCAATGGGAGTTGAGCCGAACAGATTTGAGACTCTTGGCAGATTAGAATTGTGCTGGCAACGGGTAGCTAGCACAAGCAGGTGGAGTTGTCAATTGCTGCAGCATTGTCATAGCGCACCTCTTTCAGACAGCTATTTGTTGGGGGTGGCTCTGACTGAGGAAGGTCCCACTGGAGACGATCTTGAAATCAAGCTCTGAGTTACTTCACACCGAAGAAGGCCGTTTATTGTTAAGGCTGGCTGTTGTCCTTGTAGACCCATTCTTTCCCGGCTTGCTTTTTGCCCCTTGTTTCGGTTTGACTCGTGAGGCACGCTCAAGAGCAGCTGTTGACCATGCTTCCCATGCTCACAGTGGCCGCCCACGAGGAGAAGCCTTTTGCATTCAGACACTCGACACAGGCATTCTTTCAAAAAGCCAGGTCAGAGGTACCCTAGGCTATAGAATGCTTGTCATGGTCACGGGAAGGAGTCTCGCCAATCAAAGCAATCGAGCAAGGCCATAACCTTGGAGCTAAGTAGACTGAGACAATGCTCGGACAGAATGGAGAGCTTCAGACAGATTCGATTTTAATGGCTAAGAGCAAAAGAGCAATCCTTGCAAACCTTCCAGGCGCCTGGAGGTTGCCTGTTGATTTTGCTGCGCGGAAACTACCTACAATTCCCTTTCCAGGTCCTGGCGCAGATGGAGAAGCACGGTGTGGCTGCAAAGGTTCTGTCATGGAGCCGCCAGAAGCTCATGGATGCTGAAAAAGATCCCGTGCCTTCGAAGCACAGTGCGAGTATCAATCCAAAAAGTATCTTAGCAGAGCATGACTTGAATTCCCCAGGAGATGCTGCGCAACCTTCTTGCATCCTTCAAAATGGAGAGCCTCACAGAGCTTGGAACAGAAGTGTATTTGACAAATGCTGCTCGTCTCCGTGGCTTGGCAGCCTACAAAATAACACAAACAGCCAGCCTCTCAAAATTCTTGGGGCTCCGGGGATGCCGTGCATCTCAACATAAGGTGTTTGATCGCTTGCACCTGTGTTGTTCGCGTGTCGCGCAACTCAACCCACTGGACAATGCTTCACACTCACATAAGTCTTTTTGTAGCATCTTCTTTGTGCAGAGGGGATGTGTTGCAACTCCACCCAACTTATCAACTTGGAGTTTCTTCTATGTCTATATTGAGAGAGTTTCCCACTACGCGGACGTCCATTCGTGCAACTCCACACCAAATGTGCGATACCGGAATTGATTGTACGCACTGAGTGTCTTTTTTTGCTGATGACTGGTGAGATTCTTTGGCAACTTTGATGTGTTCTACTTCTGTCATCAAACACAGTAGTTGTTCAAGTTCCTTGTTTGCTTTTTCAACGGCGACCTTCATCAGCTCAGGATCGATCACGGACAAGGTGGATTTCTCGGACACGGTTGCCAGCAGTGCCAAAGGTTTGGGTTTGGTCTTTGAAGATGGTGTGCTGAAACTGGATGGGTTGATTGCCAAGGGGCACCAGTACATTGAATCCGACAAGGGCACCGAACTCCTGAGAAAAGCGCAGGAAAAAGCGCTTGATTTTACCAAAGCAGGCCTTTTTGAACAGGCCAATGGGTATATCCAACAGCTGGAGCAATCGGAGAACAGCAAGAACAGCAGAGCCTTGGTTTGATTGTACATTATATACTGTGTTTGAGTGGATCGTGCTGGTCCACGTTGGTCCGGATAATATATATATATATATACGATATAGCATTCCAAGTTTGAGTCGAGTCCTGGGTTAGGACAATTACTGGAGCAAGGCCGCGCCTTGCTCGCGTCGGCTGAAGATGATCCGGATGCGTTGAAGAAGTGGTTGGCTTCTATTGAGGTGCCCGTTTCCGTGCTTCGGTCCCAATGCCTCGATCCCTGCTTTTTTGGGGGTCATTGGAGGCATCAGAAGCAAATCAATGGCAAGAGTGGGGTGCCAAGATGGCCGCTCAGCAGGATTTTAATGCTTGCTTTGTAGATTCAGTCTCGATTTGCTACACTTGCCAGCAATGCACCTCCAAGAAACTCTTCCAAGGTCTCCAACAACGATGGAAAGAGATGCTTGGCCCGACATCACAAAGAAGGCCATGTACACGCACAAACATCGGCAACTGTACTTGGGGGTTCTTGTACTCACGGATGCTCACAAGCTTGTCAATATAGATGCTGGAAGATCCTGTCCTGATTCAGCTCCGGACCTTGCTTCTCAGTAGGGGAAGCTGTCGCAAACGCATTCCCTAGGAATCAACCAGAGAAATGGGGAGGAGTGATTGTTTCAGAAAATGTTGATGCTGAAGATTGGGATCTGTCGTTTGCCAGTGGCCCCGCTGAGGAGATGAATTCATCAAGACAGTGTCTGAAACTTGAATGAAACTGGAAGCCGGCAGCAGGGACCTTGCGACTGACTTTGTTATTTCCTTTTGTGCCGGTTCACTGCCACTATCTCGGTGTGAGCTTACGTGCTGCTTTTGAGGATCAGTGCTCTGCCTTTCTGACTGAACAGTTGCGCATCATCAAGGTGCCAAAGCAGCTTGACAAACCAGATTGTAGCAACTGTCCAGGAAGCATTTTTCCGATTTGCTTTTCCATGGAATGTCCTTATCCGAGGATAGAAAGCCCAGCAGATGGGCACCCTGTCTTTGATTGTTGAGCTTTTACTTTTGAATCCCTCACCCGTAGTTATTCAGAGTGAGAAAAGACACTTGTGTTCTTGCCATTCTGCAGAATAGATGTGAGGAGTGCGTACGAGTATTGCATTGATAACATTGACCTTTCATCCTGTTCTGTCAGCAAGGAGCCATTGGTTCTGAATGTTACTTCTGGTTCTCTGGCGTTCAACTCGCTCTTTGGTTTGCTGCAGCCCTTTGCAGGATGGGTTCTTCATTGATCTTAAGTCACCACGTGGCTTGCCAGACGAAGAACCTCGATTTGCCCGAATTAAAGTGACAATGTGTGTGGCCCCAACAGGGCAGCTCTGCTTGACTAAAGCAATGAAAGGTGCAGAAGATGCTGCTGACATGGAGGGCTCGCCGGTCACAAGTGAGGAAGGTCAAGTTTGGCATGTTTACAAACATGTTCCTGGAATTCATGTGGGTTCATCTCAGCAGCCGTCGGGAATGTAACAATGCAGCTAATCTAAGCCACACATGTTTTGTTCCCGAGCCAGGGAAGAGACCCGTCAGCAGTGGCGAGATTTTGCGAGTGACTGCAAAGGACATCAAGGCATGGTCTTGTGAAGAAAGCTTGTTCAGCTGCGATTCAGCTGTTTCACCTTTGGACTGTTGCGGCTTTGTGGGTTCCTTCGTTGTGCCCAGGTCCGCATACCGGAGGCATGTCCGCACTTCATGATTTCAAAAGGAAATCATGTTGAGGGCAACTGACATACAACGCAGAGCTTCTGACTGCAAAAGCCAAGGAACTCAAATGGCAGTCAGCATCTCAGGCTCTTGGCATTCCAAGAGGCACAAGCCGACCAAGCTTTCTGGACAAGGGATCAGCAAGCCGTTTGGCTGACCAAGGTATAAGCAAAAAAACTTTCCATACTTCAATGGGAATGGCACAGCTGAGACTATCGCTCATGGTGCTGAGATAATGCTAGCGACCCTTGGCAGCAAACAACAGCCACGGACTACTCAGAACAGCACGGGCGAATGTGTGTCCAAGGTTCCAACTTCGTTCTGCCAAGGATCGATGCTTCGTTCTGCCAACTTCGTTCGTTTTTGCGTTTGCGCTTTCGTGTCGCTTCCTCTTTTCGCACATGCGGCCAGTTGAATGGAGATCTTGTGCCACGACTTGCCCTTGCTTGCAGCCACGTGGCCTTTCTCCGAGAAGACAAAGATCGGCATAGTGACATAGTGTGGGCTAAGCACCAAACGCCGTGGACCCACAGATGTCGAAGTGATTTGACGGATTTTGTTGTTAGGTCATTGACAAGCTCGTGCTGAACTTCAAGGAGTCCAAGTTAAGTTGGTTGTACAACACCATGGGCACCTTGGCAAGCTTGCCTGTTGCTGCCGTCCTTGCAAGCCTTGGAACATACATGTAGTGGATTGAGGCTACCTCTTCCAGACAGCTGTGAGGGATTATGTGGTGTCCACGCTTGGTGCAGCTGTTAACGCACCTTGTTTCTAAAGTTGCTTTCACGATGATGGACGATTTCCAACCCCCGTGAACTGCACAGGGCAACATGGCAAGTCTGCTCACTCCGCACCTTGGCAATTATTTTGTGAAGTCCTTGCTCTGCTGAAGTATGTGGGATCGTCCAGCAGCGTTTGAAGATGTAAAGGTTAAATGGCTATTTGCGCCCATATTGGCCGTTGCTTCTCTCCAATGTCGCCATTCCACTGGAGAAGCTGCCAAGCACTGACCTGGAGGACCGGATCCAAAAACAGTAGCAGCGTAGCAGTTGTCATGGTAGGATTGCTAGCTGTAGAGTGACCTCGCCCAGGAATACACAGTTCTGTTGGGCTTTGCTCTTAGACACTAGCGACTTGCTTTGCTTTTGTTGCCTGCGGCCCGCACGCCCGACCCCTTCCGACCCGCATTTTCACTAAGGGTCTGAGGGGAAAGTGCCGGTGGGCGCAGACTTTGTCGATGCTGAGGGAGGCCTCACATTGGTTGCATTGGAGGATGGAGGCTTGGGGACCATTTTGTGCTGTTTGACAGTCATGCCACTGCACAACCAGAATGAAGATATGAAGACTGGTGCGTCAGAGCTTCATGCGCAGATGCAGGTGCACTTCATCGCTGGAACCAAAGTGCTCCAGAAGAGAGGAAGGCGATGATTTAATTTTCACCCTGTGAGGGTTTTGGAGATGGCACGAGATGTTCATATTTGATCTTTTTTGCGGGGGCTGTAGGTGAAGACTGGTGACTTGCTTTACCAAGTTGACGGCAAGTGCGGGGAGGACATGATTCAGGCTCTTGACAAGCAGGAGGTTGATGAAGCTTGGAGCATGGATCGGCATGATGCTGTTTTTTCAGACTGGGGAGTCAACAATGCAAGCAGAGTGTGCTGGAGCTCAGGAGTTATTGTTCCGGCGAGCAGCCACAAAGGCGGGCTGTCCTGTGACACAGCATTTCAATTGGAACAGCACTTTGAAACGAATGTTATTGCCGTGAGGGGGCTGTGATAGATTGGGATGAGGCCATGTTCGATTCAGGCGCTCTCTCAGAATGCATTGTTGGCTGCCTTGTTGCTTGTGTGGTTCTGTTGCTAAAGGTTTGTTGGGGTAGATGGCCCCAAACCCCAAAAGGGGTGGTAGATTTGCAACCACAATGGCCTTGCAGGTCCAGACGGCGAGTGAATGATCGGATGCCGACCATGACACCTCGCAGTCTCACCCAAGGATGGTCCCACAAGCGACAGCCGTTGATTCAAAAACACGGCTGCCATGGGCACCCGCGGGCCATCACCACAGTTGTTCTCTTGGCTCACAATCCTGAGGTTGGGGACCCGCAAGGTGAACAAACAGGCCGAACAGGGAGATTGGATCAATGAACACGATCAATTCAACATCAGTTAAGTTCAGCTACTAGGGGCTCCTGGCCTTAGTACTAGGAGCAAGGACGCTACTAGGGGCTCCTGGCATCGCTACCAGGAGCAAGGACGCTACTAGGTTAGAGGCCATCGCTAGTAGGATGGTTTTTTTGACGTTTTTGTCTCACTTTGCGAAGATTTCCTGATGATTTCCTGATGTTCTTGGACCCCCTGCTTTGTTTGAACATTGTGAAGGCAGCTCTGGCCTAGCGCTGGATCTCATCCAGCTGGTCTGGATCTGTGCACTTGTGGTGGGTTACTGTATTGAGTTATATACATGCCTCTATATAGATGTTGTAGCCTGTTTCTCCTTAGATGGCTGAAGCTTCCGTCACACTTCGATAATGACCCTGCTGTTTGCGGCATGCGCTCCACTGTTGGCTCAGACAGGCACAAAAACTCGCAAGCAACTGAATGCAGGCAATTGTATGGGACTTGTGTCCATGATTGTTTGGACAACTTCATCGTGCGCCACCACAACAACCGCATAGAACATCACTTCCCGCGTTCGGTTTGTGCTATAGCCGACAAAAGGGTCAAGGCTGGGGCCATGGCGGGTAGCGATGGCAGGCCTTTGCTGCAGATAGCGCCCATGATGGAAGTGACGTATCGAGACTTTCGGTACTTTATGCGACTCTTGACTCGGCGGGCTCAGCTTTGGACTGAGATGGTGGTGGACGATACCATTCTCCACAACCTAGACACCGAAAAGTGTGACCGCTTCCTTGGTTATGACAAGAAGGAGCATCCTATTGTTTGCCAGCTTGGGGGCAGTGATCCAAGCAAGCTAGCGGCAGCTGCGGAAGTTGTGCAACGGTATGGATATGATGAAGTAAATCTCAATGTTGGGTGCCCCTCATGCAGAGTTGCAACGAAAGGTGAGTTTGGCTGCTCTTTGATGAAACGGCCAGAAGTTGTGCGGGATGCCATCCATGCAATGAGCCGTGTGGTGCAAATTCCCGTCACAGTGAAGTGCCGCTTGGGAGTTGATGATTGCGACTCGCAAGATTTCACCCGTGAGTTTATTCAAACAGTGGCTCAAGGTGGTTGTAAGCACTTCATCATACACGCCCGCAAGGCTTGGCTGAATGGCTTGTCGCCAGCACAAAACCGGACAATCCCGCCCCTTCACTATCCACGGATTTTAGACCTTTGTGAACGTTTTCCTGACCTGAACTTCAGCATCAATGGAGGCATCGCAGATGTGGGCCATGCTCGCGCCCTTTTGAACTTTCCTACTCAACGCTTGGAGGGTGAGAACTCAGAATTGTATTCAGCTGCTTGGGGTTGGTCTTCTGAGACCGGCCAGGCGTGTCCAGTTCCTCCCAACCTCCAAGGGGTAATGATTGGCCGTGGAGCTATGAACACGCCATGCATGCTTTGGGATGTGGATCATTCAATGTACGGTGAAGAGAAGCCTGCACCAATGACCCGCCGAAAGCTTCTTGAAAACTACCGACTCTACTTAGAGGAGGCACATGGAGATGGATCAACAGTTGGCTCTACGCACTTGGCTTTGAAGCCAACACTTGGAATGTTTGCGGGCCTTCGAGGGAACAAAGCGTTTCGTTGTACGGCTGACACGGCCATGCGAAAGAAGAACGAAGAGGGTGCCGCGGCGAATGTGTTGAAACTCGCCATGGAGGCCGTAGAGGCAGCAAATCCTGGCATTTTGGACGAGGTCTTGCCTGCGACCACAGCTTTCCAAGTGGCCAGGCAGAATGACACGCCACGAGGCCAAAAAAGAAAGCCGGCTCAACCAGAGGCCTCGGACATGATGACCTGCGCTGCTGAAACTGTCCCTGTCCAGATGGCAGATTCCTCTCCGCTGGTGACAGTCTCCACGCAGTAGCACCCCTAAAACTGCTATGCAGTGTAGCTGCCTTGGCAATGCCAAGGACATCGCCACTCTGCTATTCTGGGCTGTTTCGGTGGGAGGAGATCTCCTGAAGTCCTACAACTACGAATGCAGTTGCAAACTCATGATCTCAGTCTAACGGCTTTGTACAGAATGTATCGATGCAAATTTAGCATCAACATGCCCACACTGTGCAGTGAGCGATCCGAGGGCAAACACGTTTGCACCCTTATGCTGAGCAAAATAGTTGCCCGCATATTACCTTCCAGCTTACCTTCTCCAGGCAACATGTGCCGCTAGTGACAGTTGGTTGAAAGCGCGCCACCACTACGCCTTGTTGATCCAAGGCTGGGTTGACTGCGGGTGCATCCAGTGCCGCTTCCTCTACAGCCTATGCCGTGGATGCCGGGGCTAAAGCAGAGGATGGCTGTCATGAGAAGAGAAAGAGCTCACACACTGACCCTTGATCACAGAGAAACTGCTGATTTTACTTAAGGCAGTGGTGAAGGAAGTCGTTCCCTCAGCCATTGGGCCCTTGAGAATTGCGGTTTCAGACCTCCTCCGGCTTGAGGCCCTGTTGTTCTTTGCCATCATGCCTCAAGATGGCCTAGAGGCCCTGGGAAGACACAGGCCCACGGAATGCATTTGATCAGCTGCACACACACACACACACACATATATATATATATATCATACATGCATACATCTATATTAGTGGAACCTTTTGGAATCATAAGGAGCCTTTTGGATCCTTTTGGCTACAATAAGACGACCGGCCATTTCATGCGTTTTGCTTTCTACCGACAAGTGCTCGTCACGTCTGGGTGACTCTGGTGGCTGGACCATTGAGATGGTGGAGCCGTCTTGCTTGCATATTACTACTATAATACCTGGTTTGCTCAAGCATTTTTTCCGGTAGGCCGTTGGGAGGTGGCGCAACCCAATCAAGCACATCATATCTTGAGTGTGTCTCTCCTCGTGAGAGCCTGGAGCGAGCCATTGGCTTGGGTTGTGTCTTGTTTGTTGCTCTCATCTGTCTTCCCCGTCATTTGCACCCACGCACTTTCTTGTCCCGTCATGTCCCGTCTATTCTTTCATGTCTCTTCCGTCTTTGCTCTTTACGTTTTTTCATCTCATTTCTTTTGTTCTTTTGCACGCGCATCTGCCTCAGCCTTAGTGCGCACGCACACTCACTTACACTGCAACTAGGTTTTCACGTGCCCCAGGTCTTGGTACAATGAGGTGTGGCTCATTGGTTGTCCCTAGCTGTGATCTGGTTTCCTCATTTCCTTCACCTACATTGCGCGTGTCCTTCCTTCACATCGGCTGATTTGTCTTCGTATACGCCGTGTAACCTTTTGGCCGGTTTAGATTTGCAGGGGGTGGCAGCAGAGCTTGCCACCAGCGAAGACACTCTCGCACACCTGGTGAGAGTGATAATCCCAGCGTACCAGCGCTGTACCGAGATGGTGGAGCCGCCTTGCATATTACCATATTATATCATATTATTTGGTTTACTTGAGCATTGGCCATGGGGAGGTGGTGGAATTCAATCGAACGGATCATATATTTTATTCCCCAGATAGCGAAGCTATGGGGTCCTTACTTCAAATAACAATGAGTTGCCCGCGCGCGCTTTCGAGACAGGTTGCTGGTGCCGGTGCTGGTGCTGGGTGCTGGGCGCCGGTGCTGGTGCTGTGAGCTGTGCACGTGGTGGAGACAGGTTGCTGGTGCTGGTGCCGGGTGCCGGTGCTGGCCGGGTGCCTGTGCCGGTGATGGTGCTGTGAGCGGGCCGCGTGGTGGAGACAGGTTGCTGGTGCCGGTGCTGGTGCTGGGTGCCGGTGCTGGTGCTGTCAAGGGCCGTACTGTTCGCGCGCATACTTTTGTACGTACACTGTTCTATGCGCAACGTCAGGCTCTCAACCGACCATTGTTTCAAGTCGTGCTGGATACTGCTTGGCCTTGGGCGAGTGAAGCCTACGGGCTTTGCTGTTTGTGCGCACTCTTTTGCGCGCATAAACTTATACGCGCAAGATCATACGGCCGTATCGTTCTAATTACACATCGTTGCTTCAAGCGTGCTACAAAGGCAATAGTGGCGCTGGATACTGCTTGGCCTCGGGCCAATGACACTTACGGGCTTTGCTGTTTGCGCGCATACTTTTGTGCGCATAAACTTATACGCGCAAGAGCACACTAGGGATAGCTATGGGGTTCTTACTGCAAACTAAATAAGAATGAGCTGGCTGCGCGCGCTTTCGAAGGGGTGTCAGTGCTGGTGCTGGTGTTGTGGTCCTGGGTGCTGGTGGCTGAGCGCGCGTTTAAGACGGACGGCGGTGCTGGTCGGGTGCTGGCGCCGCCCCCGTGTCAGCTGGCAAAGCGCACCGGTGCTGGTGTCAGCTGGTTGCGCGCGCTGTGGAGGCGCCGTAAGCTGGCTGTGCGTGCAGGCTGTGTACATTCTTGTTCCAGCCAGTCGCATGTCAACAGGTCGTGGGATGCTGCCTAGCTATTTGGGTCTATGCTGGTTTAATTTAATGTGTGTGTGGGTGAACCTCCTCCCATTCGCTCGAAGGCCTTCTGCCGGTGCCGGCGAGGACTGACGGCAAGTGAATGAGTGAATTTGCTCACCCAGATGTGCGAAGGCTGCATTAGTAGCAAGCACGTTTGTCCACGATTGTCGTAGTAGCACGTTGCACAAAACTTACAGAGACGAGCCTGACGCGCGAGGAAGTTTTTCGCGGCTTCGGGCAGCAAGCGCACGCAGATGACATGGCCCCAAATTTTGGTTTCCATTCGCCTTCCAGTGACCAGTGCCGCACAAGGGTGCCGGATGGTAGCTAGTTCGTGGTTCAAGGAATTGTTTCTTGATTGAGGCCCGCGCTGCAGGAGAAGCCTGCGTGGTGGACTTGAAGACTGCCTTACTTTTGCACGGGGGGTAAACCACGATCACAATCATATTGTTTTGGATGTGTAGTTTTGCTGAAGGCTCTGGCGCACACTTTGGCCGCCAGCGAGAGCAGAGGAGGACGGCCAACTGGTGCGGCCTTGATTGAAAAGTCTTCCAAGCAGCAGTAAAGAGTGTGTTGAAATGTGGCGTATCCTCCTGTTTCTGGTCTCACGGACTCGATTCATAGGGGCGTGAAGGGGCACCAGGGATTTGATCCTTTCTGCCATCAGTGGGATCCAGAAAATTGTTCCAGGCTCGCTGTCTGGAGGCATGTTGCGGATTTCTTGAAAAACTTGTTCGCCGACACTACACTGTCAAGACTTTCCAGTGGTGGGCGGCTGTCGCAGGCAACATTCTTCCAGCTGCACTGGCTGCTGGCCGTGTAGCCAATCACGCTGCCTCTTGGC